TAACAAGATCCAGTGATATTGAAAGGATCTGAATATACCCATTCCGACATAAGAACACAAACTTGACTTGTGTATTCGACAGTCAAAGAAGAAATTTATTGATGACTAATTACTGTCAAATGTGAAATTAGTTTCCAGCTGTCATTTAGTATAAATAGACCCCAAATTATTATCTTAACATCTTGGTCAATAAATTTATAAAGGAATTTTAAACGTACTTATGTACTTTGTTTTATTTTTTATTTTATTTTTTATTTTATTAAATCACACTACCGATTTATTACACAAGCTCGAAAAGTTCGAACACTAATGGTGATTTAATGGCCCTGTTGTATGCTCGGATGGTATTATGCTAAAACTTATATTTTTCTAAAAGCGTTTTCATTAATGTAACTTCAACATTTTTCCGTTGTTTATAAATTATCCCATACATCCATTGCGACGTTCGAAAGAGAAAAGCCTGTACACATGTGGTGCTGAAAAATCCTCAATGGTCTGCTTAAGATGCCCATGAAGATGCTGATACATTGCAAGACATTTGTTGCCGTATAAACCTTCCGCTACTCTATTGAAATCCAAAAAGAGCTCCTGGCCTTTATCAATTTCGGATTGTTTGATGCAGGTTTTCAAAATATATTTGCCTGCATTTACAAAATCCATCCAGTTTCTCATGTTTTCTTTGGGCAAAATACCTGTTCATTAAAAAGTTAGTAAATAAGACGGTTTTTGTGACGAATAAGATTTACCTGTCAAAACAAAAGTGGAATACATCAGGCACCAATTTTCCAGTTGTCAGCCTTAAATTTGGTAAAACCACTTGCAATCTTTTGACCAACACTTTCAAAGCCAGCAGGTAATTCCACCGAGTTGGCAAGAACTTGCATTTTCTCCAAGTTGACTTTGGTGAAGTACCCTTATTCCTTCCAAATCTTCACAAATCTTGAGCATGTCCCCAGAAGATGATTGTGCATGGGATCAATAATGCTTTGACTAAAAACATTAAAGTACCCCTATCGATGCAGTTCGGAATACCTTGTTCCATTTGCCTTCACGAGGTCCTCTCATGTTTCTCAGTAGTGGAATTGCGCCAACTCAACGCCGCTCGCAAGTTGCTTGCCTTCGGTAGTTCAGGCAATTTACTGGCAACAGTGTTGATTCCGGAAAAATCATGTCTACGTTCAACCAAGAGGAATTGACCTTCACACTTGTTACACGCATGGCCGCTGGATGAGCTGCAAAACCAGATACGTTCCTGCAGGCAGGGATATCACATGCCAACATCAACAAAGCAAAACTGATTTTAATCGCCTCAGATTTTGCCGCCGTTTTCATCATCACTTCTCTTTTCAATTCTAAAAGCTCATCAACCAAGGGCTTCAAGTACGTGTTGATTCGGTCCAGTTTTGGCTCTTTTCCAACAGGCATAAACCCTACCAGAATGATGTTTTCTTCCTTAAATCGCTCTTCTCTTTTCCAATTATTGATGATCATGTAAATAGCACCACAAGAATAATTTACATTATCAAAAGGTTGGAACTAGTCGACATTTAACGTTGCATACAACAGATTTCGCAATGTTGAAAATGGAAGACCAGTGTTATCCATGAATGTGTTGAACATTTTACCATCATATATGTCGTAATAGATTCCTGGAACAATATCTCTTGATCTCCAATCATTCGTTGTAGATTTGAATTCGGGGCGAAGCATCAACTCTTGCAACGAACTTTTGAGCGACTTGTAGGGGTTAACAAATTTGGGCTTGTAGATGCTGTTGCCATTACGTATCTGCACCTGCTCAAACAAAACTTCATCACAAACATCACCATCCAGCGATACAAAAGAACATGATTGTTGAGGGGGTGTTTTATCCTGCATTATAATGATTAGACGTTGATTTTAAGAAACTTAATTACCTTTGTTATTTCAGGAGCATAGATTGAATGGCATTTTCCGCAAACCCTATATCTGGTAACACCAGCATCCCAATCATCATTTAAGTTTTTCTCGACTATTTTGAACGACTTTGACAAAGCAGTTTGACTGCCATTATTGGCTTTCATCAATGAGATGTTCAAAAACTAAAGAACGACATCAGCTGCTATATGGGTGAGGCCTTCCTTAATCTTAAAACTGCCAGCAAATAATCCATACATGTCTGCTCTGATTTGTGTCTCAGTTTGTTTAGGATCGACGTTCTTCACGACGATTGTTTTGATATTCCCTTCGGCACAAGCGTCTTTTTCTTCTTCTTCTTCTTCGTCATCATCGTCATTGTCAGCTTCCCCATCAACTGCCATGCTAACATCTTCAGTTTTTCGATATTGTCTTCAGATTCTCCGACATTAGTGCTGCGTATGTCATTCATGATATCTGTATGTAAATTAGTTTGCGATGAAAGTTTTTTTTTTTAACAATGTCCACGAGCCTTGTTTAACGGCATTACCTCAACGTTGGGAATGTCCTCTTCAATCTCATTCGATCTTCGACGTTTATTTAGGCTGTTAATTTTTTTTTTTTGGTTTTCACCTGAAGAAAGTAATGACATGTCTTACTGTTGTTACTACCAGACATAAGGGCAATGAAACGCATTTGTCTTTGGAAATGGTAATTGTAGCTGGTGATGCGGAGCTTGACTCCTTGAGGTTTTTTTTTAAGCATTCGTCGCATTTACAAAGAAGATGATTATTTTGGCAGAAAATAACAAAGAAATATGAAAATAGAAAAAAGACCTTTTTTATGATGAGATGATAATTCTATTTTTAACTGTGAATCTTTTTGTTGTTGCTTTTTTTTTTATAAAATAAAGTTCGTGCCAGCACTATTTTCCTCGTTATTAAAGAGTGCATTTCCGATTGAAAATCTACACTATTCGTGATATCTTAATATCATATAAAAACAACCTATTTTATTCTTAGAGCACTTAGCTGTGTGACTTAAAATGTAAAATTAAGGTTTTTGCCTCGAGCAATGTCTTAAACGTTTTGTTTGACTTACCTTCACGATTTCCAAAATTGAAAATTGATGTAGCAACAATCATTCATTTTTCCTTTTTCAATAAAATAAACAATGAAAGCTATTTTGACAAGGAAGAAATCGAATATAGAAAACAGAAAAATCTATTCAGTTACACATAACCTTTTTAGTGCTCTTAAGGTAAGAGTTTTTTTTAAGTGTAACTGCTACAGTGCTCTTACCGATCTGGTCTAACACCTTTTGTGATTTCAGATGATCATCTATTAGAATTTGAAGGTACTACGGCTTCCTAAAACTACTTTTATATTAAATTTAAAGAATCTGTTTACTACAACGCTATACCCATTGAACGATTATTTATATCATGCCCAATAGCTTATTTTTGCGTAGGACATTATTCTCTTTGTTGTTTGATGGCTTAAACTATTTAACCGACTTCTCTTTTTTTCATTTTTAAAAAGAAGGTACAAATTTTTCAAAAATCCAGTACCAGTTCCATGCAAATAGACATTGTTTCTTCCACTGAATCTTAGTCATTCTGTTCTTTTATCTTTTTTCTTCCCGTGTCAAGCAACCCGTTCTTCCCGATAAATAATTAATTAGTATCACCCGTCATAATTTTTTGCGTACAGCATAATTCTCTCAAAGTTTTTTATGACTTAAAGTAGTTATTTGTTTTGTTCTTTTTTTCATTAAAAAATAATTACACATTTTCTGATCATATGTCACAAACACTTTACAAACAGACACTATGTTTACCACTTGTAATGGCCCATGTGAAACTGAATCACCTTTGTTTAAATTTATAATTTAGATCAGCTTGTGTTTCCTTAACTATTTAGTTAGTATAAATAGGTGTCATTTTCTCACTGGAGTGACAATATTTTGGATCTTTGTCTTTACCACCCTCCCTTTATTAAACAAAAAAGAATTTATATAAGCCTTCGTTTACCCTTCCTTGTGACAGCAAGTATTGTTTTTGTTCAGCACTGTCCTTCTGCCCATTATACAAAATGTTATTTCTGCACAAAGTCTTCCGTTTACATTACCATTATGCCACCAACAACGTTCGAGATTAAACAAAAACTAAAGCGTACCCTAGAGCCATACGAAATTGAATTAACTTTCAAAATAAAAAAATTTCTTATTGACCAGACATTTTGAAAAAAGATATTAAATCATGTACAGTGTACAGCATGACAGTATGCCTAATGCCACAAAATAAAAACAGAATATACACAGGTACACCTTTTTTTTCGTTTTTTTCTGACAAGCATTCATTTTTGGTAATGATCTATGACATGGGCGACAATGAAAACTTCTCATTCAAAACCGAACGGCTCAATTTTAAAAATGTTAAAAATATGGCACTACTTAAAATTAAACCCAATTGTTAGCAATTTGTATTCGTACAGCTATAGTTTCATACAAACATAAAATTATTATAGGTGAAATCAGACATACACTTTTTTTTTTTGGCTCATTCATGCCTATTGAGTCATTAGAGCAGTTACGTTTATGAGAATGACTAAACAGATGCTGGTATTATTTCGCAAAAAACCACTGGTATGACCTGGTGGACAGAGCAATTATTTATCAATATGACCGTAAAATTGTCTCGCCAAATTTTCTTTTTTAAACCGTATTTTGTGGAAAAATATAACAAATAAGTATAAACTTTCCGTCATCACTATACATTCCCCAAACTAGATCCATTCATGTCTTTTACAAACTCGCAGTTTACGCTTTCAAGAACAGAAATCTTTTTTGACAGTTACTCTTGTACTAATAATCTTTAAAAAAAAATTTATTTTCTTCTGAACAAAGAAGAGCGCTTTTCTTCCTTCTCCTTTTCTTTTTTCTCTTCTTCCTCTTCTATAAAACAATAATGTTAAATGAGTGAAATATTCTAAGACAAGATCTAAAACTAATCTACATACCTTCTTTTTCTGCCCTATCGAAGAGGGCCTTCAACGCTAATCTCTCCCTAGCCTTCTCGTAAATGAGCTACGCGAGGCTTTGCCATGGGGCGTACGGGAGAGACAGTGATAGAAGGTCCCTCAACGACAGGGACAGCAGAGACAGAGGAGACAGCCGAAACAGAAACAGCAGAGGAAACAGCAGCGACAGCACCGAACGAGGCGAAAGAAGGGACCGAAGCAACAACAGGAAAGAAGAGAACGGAACCGACGGAAGCGACCGGAGCAACAGACAAAGAACTTGACATCCGAAGAGCCGGACAAAGACAACTTTTCTGTCGCCCAAAGGACGAACAAAGCAAGCGCGAACGGTCGATGGAGGAGGAGGAGCGTCATTTCGTCGCTTACCTCGACTCTGTTGGCTCTCGCAAAGCGAAGAGGAAAAAGCAGGAGGGCAAAGAGGAGCATCCGCAACGGTAGCTGCAACAGGAACAGCACCTACAGCAGACATCTCGGCTACACGACAACCGGAGCGAAGACGACGAGGGTAACCACCGGACGGGCAAAGCAACAACAGGAACCACGGGAGCCGCAACCAAATCAGTATTCTCCCCAGCGGAGCAACACACCAACCAGACCACCCTCAACAACAACGGAGGAGACAGCAACAGACTCCAAATTGACACCGCAAGGGCGCAGAGAACACCACAGATCACTTCGTTCGCAGGGGCGGAAGAAGAAGAAGGTCCCAAAGAGACAGAGGAGATCCCACGCACGCACACCCAGAAGGCCAGACTCCCCAGAAACAGGGACAGCCACGTCGTCGACATCCATGTCAGACACACAAGAGCCGACGTACCGGACATATCCCCAGAAACAGCGAGAGGTGAAAAGCTTGACCAACGGCCAAAGGGGAGCACAAGGAAGAACTACAATCTCCACCAAAAGGTGTAGGAACAGCACCAGTTGCAAGCAAAGACTGGGTTATTGCTTCACAACCAAAGCCAAAGGTAACCCCAGAGGAAACTTCTTTGATGGGTTGCCGGATGGTAGGCAAGCTACCACCACTTACGCAGGCCAAACCCGCAACACGCGCAAAGTCCACGGAGTACCACTGTCTATCACTTTTTTGGCACGTCACAGGGGCCGAACGAAGGAGGAAAGACTGCTTAGTACCCTCGGAGGTCACAGAGGGCAAAGCAAAAGGGGAGAGAAACACAGACGAAAAGGCTACAGCTTCAGGAGAGGAAGCAGCAGCAGGAGAGCAAGCAACAGCAGGAGAGGAAGCAGCGACAGGAGAGGGGAGAACAGAAGGAGAAGCAACAACAGAAGAAGACGACACCACAGAAGAAGAAGAGGACACCAACGAGTTTTTTTTAGCCTGGGAGGCCGGTGTAATTCTGCCATTGCAGAGAACGAAAAGCTCCCCAATCTCCACTGGTTGTGGATTACCCAATGGTGGGCCACCACTACTGGCAAAGGCGCAGACCAAACCAAAGAAAGAAGCAAGTTTCTCCCAAAGGAAAACAAAGGCAAAGCTGGCGTGGAACCAGGCGAAGACAAAAAACAAGTGAGCACGGTGCGTAATGTCGCACATTATTCTATGCATTCTCAACATTAGCATCGTGTATATGAATTACTTGTTTATTACTTATTTAATACTTACTCGTCAGTAAAAACGTTCTCGAGCATTTTTTGAAGACTTGTTTAAAGAAAAAGAAGAAAAAAATAAAAAAAAATCCATGTTTAAAATAAAAAAAACAGCTGCGCCCCGCCAGTTGATGACGTGTTAGTGTATTTGTTAAACAAAGTCACTTTTTTTGTCATATATTAAAAAAACAGCCTGGACTTTGTTCGCAGGTCCAATTTACAAAAGAATAAAGCTAAAAAAAATGTATATGATCAATACTTCAATGCCCACCTCGACATTCTACGATTCCCTTTTTGATGTCGTAACGATTAAAACAGATTTTGCCTTCACCAAATGGCAAATGAGAAAACTGTTGTTCAATGTTCTTTCATCTCTGGAAAACGTGTAATGAGAATACTTTTTTACTTAAACGAGAACACGGCCCAACCCACTTTTGCAATTATTTGACCTTCGCTTCGCTACGGTAAAAATAACCTACGTTCTTGCTGGGGGCCATCACAAGTTTGCGGCGAACCCCGACGCAACTCAATGCTTGTAAATGGTATAAAAATAAATTCTATTGATAATGATTACTTTGTACTTAATTTTGTGTCTTAGTTATGACTTCGTTAAATACAACATCGTCTGCGAGGGTTGATAATGGCGGCTCATTCAGTAACATTATCTTAAGATTAGCAGAATCACGTAACCGAGACAAAGCAACATAAAATTGACCGTTCGTCAAAACGGGTTTGAGACAAATAGTATTGAAGGAAAGGGTTTGACATTGCCATTTGTTGATGTTCATTCCAAATGCAGGTTGGACAGAAAATTGACGTCGAAGGAGGGTAAATGGTACGTTGGCATTATCTGAAGATATTGATATGCTGGGAATCACAACAATGCGATCTGCTCTATCACCAACAGCAATCTCAGCTTCTACAAAAGTTCTTGTGCATTTTTTACAAATAAACCTTGTACCATTATAGACCTTCTGCAGGGTGGATGTTGCGATAATTGAGGATAGAAAAGGGAATCGTAAATTGAAAAATAAAGCAAGTAAAGAAATGAGACTCTATAATCCTTTTTACAAGTTGGAGAGTTTGTCATGATAAAAATAAAGGTCCTTTTAATATTCCATTTTTACTGCAAGATTTTTCCTGCGCAAATTGAATTGAGTATGTTTCCGCAAAATGGGTAATGGTAGAATTAGATCTAGATATCAGTTACATATGAGACATAGCTTATAGTTACATACAAGGAACTAATTGACCCATACCCGGCATTTCTAGAGCATTATAGTTTATCCATTCAATGACGGGGTTCTTGATTGGATTTCTAAAAACAATTACGAGAAACTAAAAGATTCGGCAGCTGCTTGACCATTCCAGAAACGAATATGACATCTGATATCAGTTTGAAATATGACGGAGCTAGTACTGTATCGTACCAGTAGGAATGTATTCGCGATATAGTGCTTTTAACACATAGGTAATATACATTATAATCGAGTGACAAGATAAGAGTAATTGTGTTCATGGAATTAGGTGTCAAATACGACAGGTTACATTTACTGGCCATGTAAAAACTGCCCAACAGCATATCATGGGCAGTATACGGACAAATACAAGACGCGAACCATTATTCTTGACGATGTGGCATCTTACAATTTGTGAAACTCGCGTACCAATTTTGTTTTCCTGGCTCGCACAATAATATCAATGTTCTCAATAGATTGGATATTTTGATAGGCATAAGAAAGAAGCGGTCCCGATGTCAAGCTTAACATTAGTGACTAAGAGTTCAATTCGTGGTATTATCTTGGTGACGGGATATACGTTAGTTATGCGAACATTGGCAAGACGTGTCCCATCCCTAGACCTGGTGCCGAAGCTGTAACTATTGCTTCTGCAAGCAATACTTAGTGTTTGGGATATTAACCAACTCTTTCTCTTAAATATAACTTTGCCAAAGCACAAGAAGCATGTCGAAAGGATATGGAGAGTGCGTTGTGTGTTGCAGGCTTGGCTTGACATTATCAGTAATCCTACAAGACTATAGAAAATGATAACCTTGATACGATCATGAATGCGTGTATCATCATGCACAACATGATTGCTGGGGTTGAGCGCGACGAAAGCTATATGGGATTCAGCAGATTCCACAGATCTCATTCTGCTAATCCTGCTAAGGTTGCTGACATTTCTCGTGATCTTTCACATTTTAGCTTCCGGAACTTCTTGAAACGTCATGGTCATATCATAGACTAATCTGAGCACTGGCAGATTAAAACCTGCGCTGTTGTCGCATATTTGGCACATAGAAGGATTTGAAAGCTCCTCAAACTAAAATTAAAATTCACATTATAAAGTTATTAAAATCGATTAAAAATAAACTAGAAAGATTTATGATTCCCTGGCAAGTATTGCTTTTCTTGGTCGCCCTCGAAATCGCTCTAAGGCTTTCTCACGATTAAGCTTATAATAAAGGAATGCCGTCTCGTCATCCTCAAAATTCTTTAAGTTAATCTTGAACAAGGTATAATCTCGTTCTCGTTCACGCTGTTATCGATTTTTTTCCATGTGACAAAGTTCAATCTCACTGGTATAATCCATCTGTAATAAATCGGTAGTGTGATTTAATAAAATAAAAAATAAAATAAAAAATAAAACAAAGTACATAAGTATGTTTAGAATTCCTTTATAAATTTATTGACCAAGATGTTAAGATAATAATTTGGGGTCTATTTATACTAAATGACAGCTGGAAACTAATTTCATATTTGACAGTAATTAGTCATCAATAAATTTCTTCTTTGACTGTCGAATACACAAGTCAAGTTTGTGTTCTTATGTCGGAATGGGTATATTCAGATCCTTTCAATATCACTGGATCTTGTTACTTTATTTACCGATAGATCTGTGATACAGACTATTTCCATTTATGACAATTACATCTACTTTTATTACGTATACGCTATGTGGTTTGACACACCATCTTTTAAAGGACCTTCGTAACGTTCTGGGCTCCTTAGAATTGGAGTTTGTCCAAACCATCCAAAAGCCCTTGGTACTTCCTGTCCAAATGGGTATTTTTCTTGCTCTTTTTACGTCATATAGGAAGCACTGCAACCGATTCGTCACTCATGGCATCCTCATCGTCATTGACTGCTGCCGAACTACCAGCATCAGTATCGGTATGGCTACCTGGAGCTGAAGAGGTATCCACTTTACTATTCATGACCTTTTCCCTCCTTGCCTCAATTTTGCCATCTCTGCGCTTAAACTGATTTTACACTTAAGGGTGTTTGGGATGGAGATAAAATGTAAAGTTAAGGTAACAAAAGAAAATACTGTTAGAACTGTGTATATCTTTTATTTCGAGAAAATTTAGATTCGGGAATTCTACTAGCAAAAACTACAGGTATTTATACTAAATGATTAGATGGCTTTCGGATAATATATGTGACGCGTTAGAGGAATATGATATAATGTTATACGTAATGTCTGTTTAAATAAATATGTTATGAAGTAATTCCTGCCTTACAAAGTAAAGACAAAAGTACGTGAGGATCTAAATTCATCTCCGCAGGTGACATTACGTAAATGCCAAAGAGAAAGTTTAGTGCGTGTAATATTCAGTAACCGAATATTCCGCCTATGGGATTGTACTATACTTTTATGGTATTATAATATTCTACTCGTCACAAGGCAAATCACCTTGTGCACAGACACCAACGGTTCTGATGATAACAGATGGGCCGAAGTGTCAGCCATGAATATTTATACATGATCATCCATTATTATGTAAAATGTGATGATTCTTTTATTATAATCTATGACATCCTCAACAAAGGGGGATCATTACTTTCCTGAAAGCAAGGGAAGTATTTAAATAAAAATTGATACTTTTGCTCAAAAAGCTTGAAGCTATTACGTACCTATTTAAAGAAATTTCTGCTCTAGATCCTGATATTTTAGGACAAATCTAATCATAATTTTTACCTCCTCGGAGGCAACCTTACCACTTGCATTACGTCGTTTAATTGCAAGCGTCAATACCACAAAACTTGTTGACCAAAGCAGAAAAAACTCTCCAGTGGTCTTTCAAACCTTTTCCGTTCTTTCTGGACTGGCTTGTTCGCCGGAAGCCTTAAAGTTGGAAAGGATACACTTCCAAAAAAAACAGATGATTTTACCAAATATCCTGCTATAGGACCTTTCCAGACGACCAGCCACGACTTAAATATATGGAGGTCTGGAGCAGTTGTCCAAGCATGAGGCCAGTTAGACGCAATAGCAATAGCTTCGCTTAAATACTCGAAATCACTCCCATCGTTGTCGTTGTCACAGGTGTAGTCCATAACGTTGGTGTTGTCATCATCATTGACCAACTCCTTATCGTCAACATTGAGGTTGTAAGGAGCATCGTCCAAATTAGCTTGGTCGTTGTCAGAGTCGTACATATTGTTCATTACCTTGAAAGAGGAAAAGGGTTAATCTTTTTAAAAAGAGATAATTGTTTTATTGTCAAAGACGGACTTTTTTTTTAACTTTAAAAAATCTCTTCCTTTAGCAAAATTTTAACGTTATCTTTAAAAATTTCAGTTTGATAAAACAACCTTAAGCCCACTGCTAGAGGTAAAAAAACTAATATTCTGGGCTTTTGTAACCGAGAATCAATTTCAAGCTCCACCGCTGGGGATGCTGTTACAGCCGCTCCTTGCGCTTTGCTTGGCCCCGCAAAAAAAAAAAAAAAAAAAAAACTTAAAAGCAATCCGAATCACTAGATATGATATATACTGCAAAGTCAAAACAATCATTGTAATATTGATGAATGCATCAACAGTAGTGACCGCGATAAACTGGTACAAACTCTTTAAAAATGTGCTGAAATGAAGTACCTTTCGTATAGAAAATTAAATACATGCCGATTAAGACCACC